TAAATTTATATTTTTTATTTTTAAAAAGTTTTTTAAATCTGGCCCATTCTTTAAGATTATACTCTAACATAAGTTGAATTTAATATTTTTCAATATGAGACCCAGATCTCATATTGTGTGATTTCTTGTGTATCTGCGTTGGCTTTAATGATTGTTTGGTGCAGGTGTTTTGTGCATGTCAAGTGTGTGTGCGCGCGCGTGTGTGCGTGTGTGTGTGTGTGTGTGTGCGTGTGTGTGTGTGTGTGTGTGCGTGTGGGTGTGTGCGTGTGTGTGGGGGTGTGTGTGTGTGTGTGTGTGTGTGTGTGTGTGTGTGTGTGTGGGTGTGGGTGTGTGTGTGTAAAGACCCAATATCCCTAGGAGACGCTGACAGGTCATTGGTGCAGTAATGCATGTCATTGCATTGACCCTGTGTGTGTGTGTGTGTGTGTCTGTGTGTGTGTGTGTGTGTGTGTGCGCGCGCATGCACCCCCTCTGCTGGATGATTTGTGTGTGACAGTGTTAAACTTTGACCCTGTGTTATCACACACTCATCTGACACTGTGCCCTGGATCATCAGTCATGATCTTTGCCTTCTAGTCTAATGTCTGGAATGACACCGGCTCTGTTCCAAACCCTAGCGATTCTAAAGGAACAGTTCACCCAAAACTGAAAATCTGCAGGAATGTGCTCACCCTCAGGCCATCCAAAATGTAAATGAGTTTGTTTCTTCATCAGGTTTGGAGAAATGCGTCATTTCATCACTTGCTCAGCAGTGAGTCGTCTGCAGTTAATGGGTTTCACTGGAGAAAGCAATATTATGGATAGATGACTCATATTTTAGTCAAAAGCAATGATTTTAAAAACGTCTTAATGCTGGATTAGTTTCAGCTTTTGGCTTCTCCAGATGTTAACTGATGGGCTGGAGTGGTGTGGATTATTGTGATGTTTTTATCAGCTCTCATTCTGACGGCACCCATTCACTGCAGAGCATCCATTGCTGAGCAAGTGATGTAATGCTACATTTCTCAGAATCGGATGAAGAAACAAACTTATCAACATATTAATTCAGCTATTAATAATAATAATAATAATGTGTGTTATTGTGCATAATCACCCTTTACCTGCGGTAAAAGCACTGTAATGCTCTCATGTTATTGCTTTATCTTGACTGCAGCTTATCTATGATCTAGTATGCGATCGTGAGTCGTGTTTCTTCCACCTGTGATCCGCTGCGGCTGTAATTCACTAGCTCATTCAGCGTTTCAATGAGAGGAGCGTCCTGACGATTTCTGCAGGTGAAGTTACCCAGTCGCCTCTATCGGCTCCTCTCCTTTCCTCTTCTCAGAAAGCGCCACAATACCTTCTAATCCCTTTCATTGAGTCAGCAGACAATCCGACTCTCGGCTGTCATTATGGTGTGGGTTTCCATGCGTCGGCTGTAATCTGAGCTCGCTCCTGTTTTGACAGTGCTGTAGTTCTAATAGCCTCGCCAACCATCTCACAGCTCACTTTTCCAGACTTCATCCTGTTGGCTTTCGACCGCCGCTTCTCAGTGAGCGGCTCACAGGTCAGTTTGGAGGCGCAGAAAGCAGGGAAAATCAGCGCTAGATGCAAATGAGCATGTCATTGTGCATAAAACGGACAGCAAAAGAAATGCTTTTGAGTAATTTGGCATACATTTATCTGCTGATTGGTTGAATCTTGGTAAATTTGACCTATGTGTAGTCCACATGGACTTCAGTAATAATCACATGTTTGGAGCCATATTTGTCTCTTTCTCCAGATGCTATTTAGCTTGTTTTAAAATTCATTTTTGGATCTATAAGGATTTCTTTAAGTCCACTTCACATCTCCCTCGTTTCAATCGCTACAGTACCATTCAAAAGTTTGCGATCAGTAAAATAAAGAAATTATTTTTTTATTCAGCAAGGATTCCACAATACAACAGTAGACGTTTGACTTTCTAGTGATTTCTCCTTAATTCATATAGCAGACGTCCATTTGCAAAAGCTAGAATTTCTCTCTCTCGTCGTGTCTGAGCCCTTGAGCAGATGTTCTCTATGGTTCATGTTGTAAACATTACGCCGGAAGTCTATGTATTCTCTACAATAAACAATATCTGCAAAGTTACGAAGCTGAAAGTTCAATGCAAACAGAGATATCGTCTTTTAAAATTCTGGCAGTTTAATGCCTACAAAAATGACTGGTAAGGGACTACAACGAGTTACTTCCCGGGTACATTACGTCAAGAACCCAAAATTTTACATAAACCCCGCCTCCGGGAACATGCAGCAAAGGGGGCTGCTTTAGAGAAGAGGAAGAGAAAACTAGAGGTGCACATAAAAATCTATTCATATATGAATCGCGATTCTGTCTTCTAACGATTCTCGAGAGACTGATGCTGATATAGTGTTAAATAATAGAAAAAAGAAAGAAGTTAAATTTATATATATATATATATATATATACTGTAGTGCTTATTTGGCATTAAATGGTAAATAAATAAGAGAAAAGAGCGGCTGGGGCGCTGGAGCTCAGTTGGCAAACATGAACAAACTGCGTAACTGGCAGAAGAAGAAAGAAGCTCCACAGGGCAAAAATACTTTCTCACCACAGCAAGTCTTTATTATCTCTCCTCTCCTGTGTTTGTTTTGAAGGCCATTTGATTTATGAGTATTTTTAGACGTCTGTCTGTGGTGGAGATGACGCTGGAATGTCTTTATATGCCACTACAAAGCGGTGGAAGGGCCGTCTCATCCCCAGCTGGTTTGCGGTTTAGACAGACGTACAGACGGCTCGGACTATTGTCAATAATCTGTTTGTGTGTGTCACCGTTTCTCCAAAAACCAAACGAAGATGTGTCTTTTGGGGTCGGAACCGATGTCATTTTTAGATTTCTGCCCCTTTGTAAGATATAAAAATACCTAGCGGAGATGATAGACTGCGCCGGACGGTCTCTACGCTGGCCAGAGATAATGATTAGCTTTATGCCGGGAGAACTGATGAGAGCGACTCGTTCAGAGAGGATTCGTGAGAGCAGCTTTGTGGGATTACAGAGCTGAATGGCTGTTATTTAACTGCTTTCCTCTTTTCCTTTCTGCTGAAGGCCACACAAGCCTCCTCAGACCTCAGGCAGATATATAAAATTTGGAGTCAGTGAGATATTAGTACTTTTATTAATGCATTATATTGATGGAGAGTGCCAGTAAAGACATTTATAATGTTACAAAAGATTCAATTTCAAATAAATGCTGTTCTTTTGAACTTTCTATTCATCTGTGAATCCTGAAAAATAAAATGTCACAGTTTCAGCACAACTGTTTTTAACATTGATGATAATCAGAAATGTTTCTTGAGCAGCAAATCATCATATTATACTGATTTCTGAAGATCATGTGACACTGAAGACTGGAGTAATGATGCTGAAAATACAGCTGCGCATCACAGGAATACATTACATTTTTCAATATATTCACATAGAAAACAGCTATTTGAAATTGTAATAATAGTTCACAATATTCCTGTTTTTACTGTATTTTTAGTCCAATAAATGCTGCCTTGGTGGGTTATATTTATAAAAAAAAATGTTTTATCAGTTTAATGCATTATGCATAATTTATTTTATTTATTTATATATATTTTTTTTTTTACAAAAATGGGTGGATTAAGAAGTGTATTGAATTGACACCATTGAAGTCCATGTCTGTCTCAGAAAAAAATAATAATAAAGGTAATTGCAACTTTTTATCTCACAATTCTACATTTTTTTTCTAAATTCTGTGGTGGAAACAGGCTTCCGTGAATATACATTAGGCACTCAAATATAAAGTGTGTATTTTATTTTTCTTGCTGTAATCATGCCTGTAGATGATAACTTGACTCTATTGAAAGTGCTCACTCAGAGCATCCTAAAGACGACCTGAGCGCCTGACTTCTGACCTTTAGGGCAGGATTCTGTCATTTCCACTCTTCTCCTCCACTCCTCTGTTTTTCTCCCTCATCTCTGGGTTTGACTGACGCGCACCAGCCCTTCTGCACGGATGACATCAGTGTCTCTCTGCTGATCTGCCAGCTGCTGATGTCACGGCTCAGTTTCACGCTGGGATTTCCGCTCCGTTGAGAGGGATGCAGGGATGCTGGCGGGTGAGGCGGGTCACGGCCAGCCTGAGCATCCCAAGGGACGACCTGAGCGCCTGACCTCTGACCTTTAGGGCAGGATTCTGTCATTTCCACTCTTCTCCTCCACTCCTCTGTTTTTCTCCCTCATCTCTGGGTTTGACTGACGCGCACCAGCCCTTCTGCATGGATGACATCAGTGTCTCTCTGCTGATCTGCCAGCTGCTGATGTCACAGCTCAGTTTCACGCTGGGATTTCCGCTCCGTTGAGAGGGATGCAGGGATGCTGGCGGGTGAGGCGGGTCACGGCCAGCCTGAGCATCCCAAGGGAACCATCCCGCTGCTGGAAGCTTATTTGGGGAAGGGTCCAGTGCATCCATGGTTATGTCCCAATTTGCATATATATATATATATATATACACAGTATATAGTGAATATGCTGGACAAATCACCTAATTAATATTCATGAGCCTGTAGCATACCCCCTTTCAACATTCTCTCTCTCGCTCTCTCCCTTTCTATGTCACTTCTATCTTTTTGGTTTTCATTGATGAGGGAACTATTAGTCAAATGTTCTCCCACGTGTGTAGGAAAAGGAAGTTGCCTCTTGAGCGTTTTACAGCTTCGTGAACTCGTGCATGTGTTTCATTTGAATGTGACGCTGCTGCTGTATTCAGAAAGACGAAGAGTGACTTCATTTGATTCCACTTTAGTTCATCGGGGAGAGTCACATGAAGCTGATTCTACATTAAATGCAATTAGATTTCTAAAAGGATGTCATCGTATTCTGACAGGACTGAAATCACAAAGTTAATATCCATGAAATATGTGCTTGATCTGTGTGGAGATTTACTGAGCAGATGTTGTGATGACATCTGAATCTCTCTCTCTCTGTGTGTCTGCAGTCTCACCCGCTGTCTCTGTGTAACACCAGCGAAGATGACCGTCAGGAGGCCATCTTCATCAGCATCGTCAAACTCGAGAGTCCAGAGAGCAAAGTGCCGCAGTGCCAGCCGCTGCTGGATAAAGTAAGACCAATGGGAAACTCTCTCACACACACACACACACACACACACACACACACACACACACACACACACATATATAAAAACTCTGGAGTTACAGGAGTTTTAAGCTCACTTATCATGTTTGTCCAGGTTTTGTGCACCAGAAACCATACATCATATGTTGTTTTTCTTGGTCATATTCCGTCCTCTCTGACCCTTGAATGAAACGGCTGAATGAGTCTTGAATTGGTTATGTAATGACAGGTTCAGCCTGTCATTCATCAGAGCAGGTGAAGTTGCTGTCAAATAGATGTTAATGTAAATGTGGGAGTTACGTGTCAATCTGTGTTATTTTAGTGTCGTTTATGTACTTCAAGTGCAAGCTTTTCATTTAATATTTTTTTCAGTTTAGTTTTATTTCCGTTAATGAAAACCATTTGTAATAGTTTTCTTTTTAGCTATCGGTAACAGCACTGATGTTAATCAGTATAGTACTTAATACTATTTTGGCTTTTATTTTAATATTTTCAGTTTTCATTTTAGTTGGAAGTTAAGGTTTAGTAATTTTGTTATGTGTATTATTTTATTATTATATGGCTATTTAGCTGTTTTAGTTTTAGTAATTTTAGTACTTCAACTACAACTTATTTTATTATAGTTAGTTGGCAAGGCAACATTTTACTTTTCATTTAAATTTAAGTACACGTTTTCCCATCTAATATTTTTATTAATTTTTTTATAAATCAGAGATTTTTTCAAAGGTCTTGATCTAATGTTTTATTATTATTATTTTACTTTAGAGTTAATTCAGTTAACAAAAATGCTTTTCTATTGTTTGTTCTTTCAGTTGTTCATTATATCTACCTGTTTTTTGTTGTTTTGTTTTTCTTTGTTCGTGCTATCATTTGTTCTATCTGTAATCTGTTATATATATCTATCTGTCTTAGGACTGCACGATTAATCGAATGCGATTGTCATGTGCATTTTGATAGTAAAGCCGGTTCTGTAATCAGCAGGAAATCATCATCACGTGCTTTCAGATGGAGCAGAATTTACTACACAGAGCCATAGTTCACTGACAAGTTACGCAAAAAAAATCGCAGACGATTTTATTGCGCGATTATGAAATAGAAGAAATCATTCGTGATAATGACAGCTGTTTGCATAGCTTCTCAGTGAACTACGGCTCTGTGAAGTAAATGCTGCTCCGTCTGAGAGCACATGAAAATAGCACATTTAATAACATGTTTTTACTCCAAACTCACTTCATAACGTCAGTCGAGTGTTTGAAATAAATCCTTCTGTGAGATGATGTGGCTTCTTACACAGAATATGGCACGCAACATATTTCATAGTATTCTAAGCTGTGATAAAGTCATTGCATTATAGATATACTTTATTTGAATGAAAAATTATTATAATAAGAACTCCGATAAACCGTATATTGCTGTTGTCGTGTGTTTATTAGTCACGTTGAATCAATGAAAGCAGTTGAATCTTCTGTTTATTCAGCCGCAGCGATAGGCATTTTCTGGGTTTCTTCTGCGAGGCGTATCTGGAGTTTCTCTGGCCTTCGGGTGGAGATTTACTGCTGATCACAGAACCGTGCTTCACTGAAAGATACGCATGACAATCGCAGCTTCTGTCGAATCACGATCTCGATTCCATTTCGATTTATCGTGGAGCCCTAATCTGTCTGTCTATCAGTCAGCTTTTTTGTTCCATCTATCGTTGTCGCTCTGTCATTCTTTCTGTCATTTATGCTTGCTGTCCATCTGTTATTCTATCGTTCTATCCATCTATCTGATGACGGTTAATCTGAACTTTTTCCATTGAAATTAGTGAGTTTTTGTCTAGTTTGCTGCCTCATGTCTAGACCTGATGTCTGTTTATTTTTAACTGAATATGTTTTTGTTACTGAAACTTTCAGTACTGAATAAAATATATTTATAATTGACATTTCAATTGCAGTTCATCACGGTGCATTCTGGGGTTGTACTGATGTGACGTTGGCTCTGTGGACGTTTGTGGTGTTGTGTATGTAGGCAGCTGGCGGTTCAGATCAGAGCTGAAGGGATTTCCAGGGTTTAATATGGTTCTGCATGTGCACCGATCACACACATCCAGACAGTCTCAACAAGTTAATCAGAGTTAATAACCGTCTGAGGAAACCGCTTCCATTCTTCACTTTTAGCGCCTGTTTATGTCTTTCTCTTGGTAGCGGCATCGGCCTGGACGGATTACTGCTGCGGATCCGACTTTGTTTAGTGAACATCTGAAGGACTCTCAGGAAAACAAAGCGTTCTGTTGCAGTGGTTCTGGATGGGTATAAATACACATGAGAGCAGGCAGAATTGAGGGCTTTTGGTTGTCTGATGGTTGTGAATGTTTAGTTTATGTGTACACGCATCATTTCACTGTTTACATCATATTGTGTTTCCCAACAGTGCAGCCGTCTTATTTTATTCTTTGAGATGCTATTCTGGCTTATATTCAGATTCATAGTTGTATAATACTTTGCCTACTTTTTATTTTCCATTTTTATTTTAAAGATTTAGTCATTTCATTGTGTTCTGCCATTTATATATATATAAATGTATGTATAATTAAGAATTTATTATTAATTTATTATAATAAATGATCTTGATTTTATACTTTTTCAGTTTAGATCTTTTGTGACATTTTATATATATATATATATACACACACACACACACACACACACTATTTTGGCATTAAAAATTAGATTAGAGTCTGATTATTTTAATATATTAGTAATACACCATCTAGCTGGGTTTTTTAAAAGTTTTTTTTTTCTTTTCTGTTTTATACTTTTATAACAGTCAAGCTCCAAAAAGGACCAAAAACACCATAAGTCCATATGACCTGTATGTTAGATTATTTCGATTATTTTAATATATTAATGAGAATTTATCCATTTAAATATTTTTTTAAGTTTACATCTTGATTTTATATTTAATCATTTCAGTTATATTGGATTATTTTAATATAATTTAAAAAGTTTATATTTTAAAATGTCATACCTGTCAAGCTATGTTAAATTTAGTATATATTAATATGCTAATAATAATATAATATTAAATTTCTTGATTTGATTTTTTTGTCATTATAATTTACAGTATATTATATTATATTTTATTATAGTTTGTTCTGGTTTTAGTTAAGAAGCCTGCAGTGCAGTTCCGTATTGAACTCTCGTGACTGAGATGTTCTACTGTAACTTCCTGCATTTGCATCGCAGATCAATCCAATGCAAATGTTCCCGTCTGAAGATATCATGGACTTTAACACCAGTTTCCGTCCAGATGCTGATTTCCTTCACAGGCAGACAGAACGAGAGACTTCACGCTCGTACCGTGGATAATGTACGTCCCTTTCACGAAGCGTCCCAGTCTGGACTAGTCCGGCGGCATGAAAAGAGCTCCAAATATTTACCCAAAACTGCTCATAGTCTCTCACACAATCCAAACATCCCCTGCGTCCCGGGCTGAAGGTCCACGCCAAACCATCAAAGGCAAAAGCCTGGGATTGCAGCTCATTGTGATTACGAACGCTCCCAAAAGACCTGCTGACTTTATATTTGCTCAAAGCTTAATCCGCAAAGCGCTGTTTTCATGCCGAATGAAAGGAGCGAGTGTTTGGCTGGGAACGTGAGTCAGAGCGAGCAGGAAGAGACATGCTGCCCTCCTCCCAGACCCCCGCTTCTCAATCAAACACTCCTCCTCTCCTCATCTAATCCTGTTTGCTGTGTGTGTGTGTGAGAGAGTGTGTGTGTGTGTGAGAGAGTGTGTGTGTGTGTGTGTGTGTGAGAGTGTGTGTGTGAGAGTGTGTGTGTGTGTGTGAGTGTGAGTGTGTGTGTGAGAGTGTGTGTGTGTGTGTGTGTGAGTGTGTGAGTGAGTGTGTGTGTGTGTGTGTGTGTGAGAGAGCGTGTGAGCGTGTGTGATGGAGAGCGTTTAATAACTGGGATGATGTTACTGACACGTATCGTCTGTGTCGATTTTAGTTTATAGTTTGATTTTTGTTTTTTCACATTTTAATTTATATTAGTTTGATTTATTTATTATATTAATAATTTATTCATTATACAGTTACTATACTATATATTGTTACTATACTATACTTTTATTTTACAACTTAATTTTATGTGTTTTTTTACATTTTAATTTATATTAGAGGTCAATTATTTTAATATTAATCATTTATTAATTTAAGTACTCAACTGACATCTAGATGTTTTTGCATTAACATTTATATTAGTGTTAGATTGTTTTAATATATTAATAATAATTTATTAGTTTAAATACACTTAGTTTGCATGTTCATTTTGTGTTTTAGCATTTTAATTTAGAGTTAGATTATTTTAATATATTATTAATAATAATTTATTCATTCATCTTAATTTGTTTTTTTTAATCATTTTAATTTATATTAGTGTCATATTTTAATATATGAATAATTTATTAAAATAAGTACTCTTAATTTACATCGTTTTTTAGCATTTTATAGCTTTAAAAGGCATATATTATTCTTATGTTTGTGTAACAGTACGCATTATTCTACAATTGGTTTTCAGATATTTTTGTTTGAATAAAAATACTAAATTTTTTAGCATTTTAATTGATATTAGAGTTAGATTATATTAAGATTAATTTAAATACTCTGTTTACATCTTGATTTATTTTTATTGCTGAATTTAATTCATTTCTTTAAAGATATTTTTAACAAATTTGTTTAAAAAGTGTCTTTTTCTCTAAAAAAAGGAGACTCGTGCAAATGACAAGTGTTTTCTTGCACGTTCGAGGAAGTCAACTCTCATTGTGCATCTCTTAACGAGCGCTCGTTAGTGACGGGGTTGGGCTCTGATGTGCGTGTTTGCACATGCGTGTGCGCTGTATGTTTGCGTGACCCGCGGGGCTCAGGAAGTGTGTTAAAGAGGGAAATCCTCAAACACACGCGTGTAAATCTGTCGCTTTGACTGTGTTTCTCTCACAGCTCAAACT